TTTGATAATCTGTCTATGCTGCTATTTTAAATTCTAGTTTGTAAAATACTCAAAAACAATGTTTGTTTCTAAATTCTTCAGAGTCGTATATTTTGGCCCTATTATTTAATGTTAAAAGATACCTAAAATGTGTAGAGCTTTAATAGCAGGCCCGACGAGAAGGGTGGTAAAATCCCCGGGGTCCGGCAGAGATCAAAGTCGCCACCTTGACCACGAAGCAGGTGTCATTACTTAATGTCTCGCCTGACTTTGGGTTCTCGCCAATCTCTATCGCCTCGCCATAACTTGTCACCCTAAACTTTTTCTTAAATTTGTTCATTCATTCATTTTAGAGAAACCATGTACATGACATTTGAAGTATTTTCTTCTACAATAATAAATAACAAAACTTTTCCTTGTAGTAAAAAAACGATCACCTATAAATTGTCTCTGAAAAGAAATGACTGGGACATTTCGATCTGTCGACCTAAAATTTGGAAGTTTTGGTAGTTTGCTATACAAATGTTTTGAATAAGCCAATCCAAGGATTACCTAAATTTTCCGTCAAATTATTATTTTATTTAAAAAGGAGGGTAGCTACCCAGACAACACACCAAATCCCAGATATATCCACAAAATATATTTTGTGGATATCCAATATATCCACAGGATATCAGAAATATTCCGTGGATCTAATATGGATATCCAAATGTCCGTCTATATCCAGAATATAGAAGATATCATATGGATATCCAGCAAAATATCTAATGAGTATCTTCCAGACAATACAATAAATCCCAGAGATATCCACATAATATATTATGTGGATATCCAATATGGATATCCAACCAAATGTCCGTCTATATCCCAGGATATAGAAGAATTCGGATATTCAGCAAAATATTTTATAGGTGTATCTTTAGTAGAGGTTCATAAGTAACCAATGATTATTGAATAAAGTCGAAAGAAAATAGCAGAGAAAAAATATTTTCAACACTCATTATTTTCAACACTCTGCTTATGATTTTGCCCACTAAGGAGAAAGTTATCCTTATTAGGACACTTCAGCAATAAATGGAAATTCTCGACTCCAGTCTCTAATGGAGTCTGATTGTAAAACAAATTTCGATCGAACTCAATTACGGCGGTTTGAGCATGAGTAGATGCGAAAATGGTATCGCTATCTATACTTAGTAAGCAAAATCAAAATGGTATAAAATTTTTTCCGTAATTTTAATGCAATAGTTTAAAAGTTATATCAACTTTTAAGTCGTTTTTGGAATTTTTATTTCTTTCAGGAAAAAATAAACCAAAGTTGGGAATTTATTTATAACAAATTGTTAACTTAATAAACAATGGAATTATTAATAAAAAAATTTTTTTTGCTGTCACTTTGTAGAGGACTGTCAATTATGATTTAAAAAAACACATTTCTTAACTAATAATTTAAACAATAGATATATTAAAAAAACGATTATAAACAATTAAAAGTTACACAGGTCCACAAAAAAAAAGAAGTGGTCTGTGCTGGGTGTTCGACAAAGATTTTCCGACGTATTTTTTACCGCTGAACACGAATCTGAATCAAAATTGAGGGTCAAACTTTTTTTTTGTGGACCTGTGTTATCATTAAGAAAAAATTTTTTTTTTAAAAATCATAGTTGGAAATTGTCTAGAAAGTTGTAAAAAAAAATTTGAAAAAAATTGAAATACTCCATTTGTTTATAAAAAGTTTATAAAAAATTTATAAACAAATGGAGGAATTTTTTTTTTTTTTTATTAATAAATGTCTTTTCTCGACATTAAAACAGTAATATTATAATAAAATGAAAACAAAAAAAATTTTATAGCACCACTGTGACTTTTCTGTTTTTGTAAAAAATTATTATAAACAAAGTATTAACATTTTTTAAACTTTTATGAAGCTATTTTGTTTTATATGTATATAAAAAGAGCTCCACGAAGCAAAAAAAAATTACGGTAATTATTTAATATTTTTATCAATTTGTAATGATGAGAGAAATTCTAAAAATTTTGTTAATTAACAATTAGGCATTCCAAACAAATGAATTGCCAGTGGGAAGGTTTTGTATATCTAAGGGTGGCCACATACGGTGTATTCTATCTACTTTACGTAAAATCATGAATAATGGATTACATTAAAAATTTTATGTCAAACACAACTAAAATAATATTTAAAAAATCTACCTATACATTTCTTCATAAATTGGCAGGCTTGGCGACTACTACTTCGAATAAAAATAGCGTCCAAGTTGCAAGACTATGTCGCTACCCCCTTAGATATACAAGAATTTCCCACTGGCACATATTGTTTGACAGGTCGTTGGAATGCCTAATAACCTACTTTGTTGGAAAATTCTTCTAAGTGTTTAGAATACATTTGAAATTAGCAAAATAATAAAGATTACTTTGAAAATTCCACACCTGTAATTTTGAACCAATCAAAATACGTGTTTTTGACAGATCACTATGGCAACGGAGGTATTTTAGTGGAAATTTTTTTCTTGTGGGGTACCCAACAGCGAATTATACTGGAAATTTTTTGACGTTTACAATAACAGACCATTTTTGACAGACTGGTTTTTATTTGTTCACATAATAGGTTTAGTTTTGATACATTTTAGTTAAAATGCTAAGGTGTTTTCTATATTCTTCGGCCACTTCTTTTCTTCTTAATGGCAAAAATGCAGGACTTTGGATGCTTTGAATTATGTGTCTATGTCTAATAAAATATATATAATATTTAGACACTAATTTATTCACCTTTTTCCCATTCAGCACTTTGAATTTTGCGTAGTTTAGGTGCAAATATTCGTGGACAATTCGGAACAAATTTTCGTTTTTCAAGTTGGAGCCACAATCCTCTATTAATCCGAGTAAGTAAGTCATGGTGCAATGATTGATCATTACATCAGACAATTTCACGCATATTTTGCATAGCGTATGATTTTCAAATCGATTCATTTTTAAACAAATAGGTAATTTTGTTGGTTTTACTTGCTGTGCAATATTCTTTTTCTACACCCGTATTATAATAATGCACTTATATGCCCAAAATCCGTTTCATAATGATACCCATTATGATACAGATTTTTCATTACGATACAGATTTTTAATCAATAGAAACCTACTATTTTTCAATCAAGCATGATGTTTGACGTTTGTCCTAGGTTTCTATGTAATTGTTTTAGTTGTCAAAACGTATTAAATTTTCGTAGATAGCTAAACTTCGATAATTATAATATTAAAATGTCTCATATCAGCGATATAGAAGACTCTTCCACACATATCGGAGAAAGCAGAAAATACAGTACAAAATATTTTGCAGCAAAAATCTAGGGAAATACCAATACCCGAAGTAATACCATTAATTACAATTTTGTAGAATTTTTTATAGAAATACGAGTAATTACTGTTATTGTGTTCAATACCAATATAAATATAATATTTAGTCCTTGATTATTTATCGGGTGTAGAAAAAATAACGTATGCAACTCTCATGTAATGGTTATTAAAACACTCGCATAAACCATACGAAACTCGCCTTTGGCTCGTTTCGTATCCCGGTTAATGATCGTTTATTAATAACCATCATTACATGATCGTTGCATAATATACTATTATCACAACAAAACGCGAGTTATTTAATGTTTTGAACTGTCAAAATACAATGATCACAGCCTCCTACGATTGATGCTTGCTGACGCTGGTTATGAATTTCATACCATTTTAAAGCGCTCATAACGCATGTTAATAAAAACGCAGAAAAACAATTTTCTACCACTTGTAGTTATTCAAAACTTACGTAAAATTAAAGAATATACTATTTTCTATTTTCAAATGGTATTCCCATGCAACTACAATGAGTAGAAATAAGCAATTTGAAGGCCTAAATAATTGCAGCGAAACATTTTTTTACGTCGGGCCGCTTGACAACTTCAAAACTGAAATTATATTCGAGGTTAGGGTCTCACTTAGTTACCATGACAACTCAACAATCAAGGCGACAACACCTTTTATGTTTCACTGGTGACTTTGAGAAAATAATTTGCATTGTTGAGAAACGAAAAATAAATTTTAAAAATATTTAATTTTCAACCATAATACGGCGTGGAATTTTCTTACCGAATACCACGCGAGGTCAAATTAATATCAGGAAATTTTTTCTCACTCATGAATATTTTTAGAAAATTTTCATGAGCTCGAAAAAATTTCAGGAAATAATTTGACCTCTAGTGGTATTACTAGTGATAATATTTCCAATAAATTGAAAATTAATATAATCTGTTCTTAGGAATATTTTGAAAATTGTCCATTGTTTTCGACTCGAGATATTTTTCAAAATATTCATTACAATTCGGAAGTTAATCAATAAAAATCATATTTGCATATCAAATTATATATTTTTTCTTCAGTAAAATGTATAATAAAAATAGGGTAATGTTGTAGTTGAAGGGTCTGGAAATGCGCCAGTCCGCACCATTGCTGTTCCGACTAGTTCTGTCAGTTGGAATCGTTACATAGTTGCCAGGTTATATTTAATTATTTGGAATCAGGGAATAAGCAGATTGAAATAACTATTTTACTTTTAATCATCTATTTACCAATTTTTACATCGATTAAAAATCCCATAAAATTAAAAAAATTCTAAAGATTTTCAAGTAATACGATCGTTATCTTTAATGTCAATAATACCTTTCAATAGTGATAATTACAAAATTTAAATTTAAAATCTATCAAAACTGTCTTATAAAACAAAACAGAATTGTTATTTCAAAATATAATATAAATCTGCGCTTTATATTTATTTATCATACATTTTAATTTACAGAGGTTACAATTTGTCTAAATAATAAATTATGAAATAAAGCAAGCTAAAATGAAAGTGGAGATTTGGCAACGTGGCTTGAGCAAATTCAAATTCTAGACGTCAGTGCAGAGTGGTGTGAATATGCGCATTTCTAGACCCGTCAACTACAACATTACCTAGGTAGTCTAACCTTTTGCTAGTGACTGCACGACTTTTCTTTCATACTTAGTTACACAATACGTAAAAAATAATACTTATAAAAATGATATTATACTAAATTTTTACAATCAAAAGAGCGAGTACAACTCTGTACAGGTATCGGTATCAGCAGGCAAAAACAAATAATGATTTTAACTGACAAAAAATTTTACACTATATCTTGACCGGTATAAATTTATGCAGGGTGTCCCAGAACTCGCCTGCTAAAATAAATCCTAGACATTGGACTTGATTTTTATATCCACAAAATAAATCTTTCATAATAGTCGAGCGCTGCCTTATTTACACACAGCCATTTTACCGTACGAAGGCACAAGTTGACTCAACGCCAACCGAGAGGGATCGCCGATCGCGTACTTTCTTAAAAGTCAACTCGGCTTTGGCAACATAAGAGGTGCACGCCGATCTTGTAGTAGTGTGTGACGCTCCGAAAAGAAGCAAAACTTAATAAAATAATGTGGAAACTTGACTTAAACATCACTTAAAAGTTAAAACGTAACAAATACAAACGATGTATTGGTGCTAAATAAGTGCAATGTGATAAACAACAAGTTCGAAGTTAGTTTTAAGAAGTTTTCGATAGGTATCGGAATCTAAATATCTGGAATCTCGACCGATTTGACAGAAGGGTACCTGTGGCTGACAGGTACTCGGTCGAAATAATTTGTTAAGTGCGTTTAAGTTTAAATACTATGGATAAATAACTCGAGTTAAATATGGAAAATCTTGCTAATAATCTTGGACTAACTTTACCTGAGGTGAGTTTTTAAAATTTAAAACCTGTCGTTACTTAGTAGGTAGAGGTATAGCCAGTCGTCGAACGACCAATATTTTATATTATATTTTATACTTATACCAGTTTTGGTCATTTGTAGGTATTTTAAACTCGAATTTTGTTCGTTATGTTTTGAATAAATGTTTGAAAAATATTGGAATTATAAAAATGTGCTAATTGCGGTTTTACGACTATGTTTATTGGAAATATTTATGAATTTCATTTTATAATTAACAATAGGTACAGGTACGTACCTATAGAGTATACTTAGAAAATTACAGTGGCGTACTCAAGAAGGGGTTTTAAGGGTTACAAAATCCCCCTCCGGAACGTTAATGTTTTAAATAAATTGGCTGAAAAACTAAGAAAACGATATAAATCTAATTTAAAATAAAATTGTTTAAAAATATATTTTATTGTACCTAGACGGTTTAAGTGTTTGATAAAGTGGTACATACCAATCTTCTTGGTCATTATCTAGTTTAAACTATTTTCGTTTATGCAAAAATTAAGCATACATATATGTTGTATTTATCACTATTGTAAACAAAAAAATCTTAGTTCTATATCTTGTAGGAATTAATAATAACTACACAATCTCCAATCACATGCAATATTTTTTTAAATTTTGACTAGATTATTTATAAAATTGTATTTTGGTAATACATTACTGACATCTAGGCAACCTATATTACTTTTTTGTATTGTTAGTTGCATATACTTCATTTTATTGACAAATAGAACATATTGATAATTTATTCTCAACGATGTGTATAGGTATATTGCTTATTAAAGTTATTTAGTTTTCTAAAAAGTGGGTTATTTTGTCGTGTATTGTGATTGAATTATTTTGTGTTTATTTAGAATGGAAAATAAGGACCAAAACAACATTATTACTAGGTTGTAAGTTTAACCAAATTCTATTTTTATAAGTCAACCTGCTCTTCTTTGATATAAACTTTCAATAATAATGTACATATATATTGATTATTAAGAGGAGTATTTACCTGTCTTTAGAGCAGAGCATGCAAGGGTTTCATAGTACCAAACTTTTAAAGTGTATTTTTGACTTTTTCGAAAATAAAAAATATGTGCGTGTAGGTAAAGGCGAGGGTAAAGGTTATATCTGTGTACCTCTGGTGACACTTTTTCAAAATTTGATTGTTTTTTTTTTTTTTAAATACAAAACTCGACTTTTTTTACCCATTCTCTCATTTTTTTTTTTTTAGAAAAAACGAAATTGAATTTTGAAAAAATGGTTCCAGAGGAGCATAGATTTAACCTTTACCTACACATATATATTTTCTTTGTTTTAAAAATACTCAAAAATAAACTTTAAAAGTGGGGTACTATGAAACCGAGTATGAAACCCTTACATTGAAAGATTTTTCGTCTGGAAAGTGGCGACTCTGTTTAAAAAAATTATATTTGTGAATAAAAACAATTTATAATATATTTTACTGATATTTTACGAGGGATAAATAAATTATATGTATTTGTACATTTTATTTTTTTACGTAATTCATTTCTGTAATACTGAGATAATCTGTTTTTCCGAATACAAAAATAGAAATCGACTTGCTTCAGCGTTTTTTTGAAAAATTATTAATACAATTGTTTATCAAATAAATATAAATAAAAGAGGTAGTTTTTGCAGGGGCGACTCAAGCACAGCCCTAGGATGGAATAGCTCGTTAACTAAGAAAGATACAACGTTCATTCCGCTATAAAAAAATTTAAAAATTCATAGGTAGTTCTTTTTGATTTTAGGATCGATAAAGCAAGTTTCTTTATTTCAAAAAAATACGGGGGGGTTAAAAGGTACCCAACCCCCAACTTTTTTTAATGGTCGCTTTAAATTTTTTTCTCCTTAGAATATTGGGCCATTAAATCTAGAGCACTGGCAAAAATTTCAAAGAAAAAATCGCAACAGCAAACTTTTTACAAAAATAAACTTTTTTCTGAATGTTAGTTTAACACCCTGTAACTTTGTTGAGAGCCAGTTTTTGATATAGGAAAATATAGCCAAATCTACTTATTTTTTGGTAATCTATCTGAGGATGAATTTATGACATACCTTTTTGAAACACCCTGTATATAATTTTTAAAATTTTATTATTTAATTGAAAGAACAGTATTGTTTCTTGCACACTATATTTTAAATTTTAACACAAACACATTAACAAAAAATTATATTCTAAACAACAAAACCGTTTATTCTAACTCAAATTAAAAAGAAAAACAAAAATAATTAATAAAATAAACAGATTTTAACATTATTTTATTAACATTAATATTTTAACACAAACACATATAAATCGCTAGTTATTATACTTTTATACAGAGACTTTTTCGGATGTTCAGAATAGTGGAATACATTTTTAATTTAATAAATAAAATTATCGAATATATCGGATATATATCATGGTATAAATATCATGATATATATATCATGATAAGAGAGTTGATAGTCGTTGCTGACTAGTTAATAATTAAACCAGTAATTATAGTGGGAATGCAGCAAATGAAAGAGTACTTTTTTAAGTTTATTCCAAGCTTTCGGAAATGTTTATTTCCATCATCAGGGAGACTAAAATAAAATAATACCACATATTATGATAAAGTAAGGTAAAAAAAAAAATTTTTTTTTTGTCATCACTTACATCTTAATTAAGGTTGTTCATTTTGGTGGTATTATTAAGTTTAGTGTAAAAATACAAAGTAAAATTGACAAGCTGAAGTCAATTACAAAATAATATTATACACAAACAATAACTACGATACTTTAAAAATTAAAAAAATATAAATAACGAAAGGTCAATTTGACATGACAAATAAAATTTTAAATAAATAACAAGTTATTAGAGGTTAGGAAATAAATGTGGATAATGCTATGTTTACATACCATTAATATTTTTTAAATGTTCAAAGAGTGATTTTTATATTAAATTAGCTCTGTATTATTTAAATTATGAATTTGGTTTGGTTTATTGTCCAAATCCAATAAATAAGAATAAATTACACTTAAATTGTTAATATCTGTCTTTTTGTTCATAGAATTTGGTTCCTGTTGTGCTTTAGCTGAACATGCTAATAAATATCAACATAATATAAATTATGACGAAATTAAAATATTAGCCATTGAAAATAACTACCATAAAAGACTTTTCTTGGAGATGGCTTTCATTTCACCAACACTTTTTTTGGTCAAAATTTCATAAAAATATCTGGAGTGGTAAAATAGTTATTTTTTCTTAAAACTGTAACACCCTGTATCTCAAAAAAAGGTTTACGACATAATTATGCTGATATTAACTTTTCTTCTTAAAATCACCCAAGGTTTCATATCCTCAAGTATCGGCACCCAATTATTAAATACCGTGTATTAATTGATATTACCTTATTCCGAGCATTATTCGAACTAATCGTCTATTTTTACGTTATTTGTAAATATGGTGATTTTATTTTGCCCATCTTTCACAACTCTACACTCCTAAATGTAATTTAATCTAATTAAAACTATTCACTAAATTAAAATATAAAAATATTGTTAAACCCTCAAATAAATCGAACTGCGTTTTAACAATATCTCACAATGCACTCAAAAACTGATGAACGTCGGCAGCCGTGGTAGGATTTTTCGGTTCCTTTGTCTCAACTTCGCGCGTTAGAGTTCAGAATTTGGATTCGTTTTAGCTACATATGTGCAAAAAATATCGCCAATCTCTCGACCTAAGTAAGTATCTATCTGTTCACTTTTGTTATTATTAGTTTTTTTTTTAATTATTTATATTCACCGATAATTGACTACAAATACTAATACTTGGAGAAGTAGGTATAAAAAATTAATTCAGATTTTCGCGTTACCACTATAAAGCCGCGTTCTAGGAAATTTAATTACGGCACCACAAAGGAATGCATTACCAACTCAAACGTCTCATCTCCAATTTCCTGTTTTCAGGCATTTAAATGCCTTTCTAAGTTGCAAGGCTCGGCTATAGGATGATGTTCCTATCGACAAACTTATTGAAATAAAAAAAGCGAATATTAAATTGGAAAGGTGCCGCTTTTCTGTGCAAATCACCTTGTATATTTATTTATTCATTCTTAACCTTCATGTTCACGTTTAGATGGTAATATGTAAGAGCTGAGTGATTTAAAATGTTAATTTTTATTTGTTGTTCTGCGCAGTTTTGTCACCTGTTTGCAATTTCCGACACCTTCTTATAAACTGAGATATTATAAACTAATGATGATCTAAAATGCATTTATTTTTTTTTTTGTATTAAAAGGAAAATTTACATTACAAACGGTTTATTATAAAAATTACAACTTAAGGGTGGAACCCAAATACTACAAAATTACTTCCGAGACTAAACAAAATCCCCATTCATTCACAATTTTAACAATATCATGTAGAAAGCCATGCAGAAAGCCATGCAGAAAGCCAGAAACAGATGTAACTGTTTTCAAGGTCGTCATAGAAGACGCATCGACAACCCTATTCCACGTGTTTTTATTTTTAATTCTTGATGCTTCTGTTAGGTATTCACTATTTAGTTTAGTTGTTCGGAATATCTAAATCGCTTGAGCGTAACGTCTAGCTAGGCATTCAGATGAAAAAAGGGGCTTTAGAAATGTACCTGCGGGGTAACTACATACCACTGGATTACCAGGTGCACCTGATCTCGAACACGTTTTAACACGTTTTATATTAGACTAATGGTTGGCAAGATAATATTGTACAAAATTCAAGTAGGTATAATATGCGTGTTAAAATTAAAAAGAAAAACTATTTACCAGTTTTTAATATTATGAAGTCTTATAAGCACTTGGAATATGCAATACGTCGGCGTTACTTTGTAATATAATTGCGTTAATTTGTAATAAAATACGTTAATTTTCAATAAAATTCGTTATTTCTAAAAACACTAGCTCATAGAAATTTAACACTAAAGATTACTTACCTTTAAAAAAATCAAA